GGGTCCCCAGAGCCCCCCAAGAGTCACCCTGGACACCTCAGGCAGCCCCCAGACCCCTGCGGGGGTCCCCAGAGCCCCCAGACTCACCTCGGCCTCCCCAGGACCACCCCGTAACCGCCCACCCGGAGCCTCCCAATTCCCGCCTCCCCTTTCCAGGACCCCCAGCCCCCTCCGAGCCCCCCCTGGGGACCCCCACCCACCTGGATGTGGCAGTCGGCCACGAAGCTGAGCTGGGCAAGGAGGCTCCCGAGCAGGGGGGCCAAATCCTTCCCTGCCACCCCCAACATTCGCTGCAGAGCCAGCGCCCCGAAGTGAAGCCCCCAGAGATCAGAGCAGCCGCTGTCCTGGGCGGGCAGTTCGGGATTTGGGGGGGACACAGGTCAGGGGGTCAGAAGGAAGAGTGGGGGGCAGATTTGGGGGTCACGCGTGGGGTTCAGGGGGTTCATCGCTCACCGGCTCCAGGTTGCTGGGCATGGCCACGGGGTAGTCGAGGAGCAGCCAGGGGGTCTGTGGGAGGAGTCAGGGGGGTCCCCAAAAACAGCCCAGGGGCGCTCAGGAGGTTCCCAAGGACCCTTTAGGGGTGAAGGGGGTGCAGCCGGGGGGTTTTTGGAACCCAGGACGGGGCCTGCCCTGGGGAATGAGGGAGTTCGGGGGGTGGCAGGGGGGAGGCAGGGGAAATTCTTCGGGTCTCGGTGGGATCTGGGAAGCCCTGTGAGGATCCCGGAGGATGTGCGGGAGGGGGTCCTGGGGGTCTCACCAGCTTGTTCAGGTGGGCGCTGAAGGTGCTGCCGACGGGGTTAAAGGCGAACGAGCAGCAGCTGCTGGGGATGGGCACGGCCAGGAGGAGCAGGAGCGGCACCTGCGGGGGGCACCGGGGGGGCTCTGGGCGTCCCAAGGGGCTCTCACGGGGGTCCCAGAGGGGCGCGGGTCCAAACGAGAAGGAAGGGGGGGTGTCCCCACTTACCAGAGCACAACCGGAGGGGGGCGAGTCCATGCCGGTACCGAGCTGGGAGTGGCACACGGGGACCCCCCCGCGACCCGCCCCGGGACCCCTCGGGCCGCGGCGGAGCCGCCGCCGAAAGCGAAAGTGGGACCGAGCCGGGAGAGGGGCCCAGGAAACCCGAGGGGGCAGCGGGACGTCCTGAGCCTCCCCCTCCCTCCCTCCCTCCCTCCCCGCGGACCCCCGGCCGCCCCTTCCTCACCCCGGCCGCTCCCTCCCGACGCCCACGGGGGCTCCGCCGCTCGGGACCCCCGGGCCGGTCCCGCAGAGCTCTGGGTGTGGCTGCCCCAGCGAGGGAGGGGGGCCCACGCGTCCGGGCACGTGCAGGGGCGGGGCACCCCCAAAATTTCACCACCCCTCACCCCCGTACTCCAGCCCGAGACCCTTCCGACCCCCCCCCCCAAAAAAAAAAAACAGACAGCAGAGCGGCTGCGGCTCGGAGCGGTTTATTGGGGTGGGGGTCGCGGGGTTTGGGGCACAGTGTGAGGTCTGAAATCCCCGCAGGTTCGGGAGGTTCTGGGGGGGCTCTCAGGGGCCGCCCCCCGTCAGCCAAAGGCAGCGGGGGCGAGTGCAGCGCAGCTCCAGCTCCCGCTCGGCGCCGGCTGCCGCGTCCTGCCCCGGACCCCCCAGGACTCCCTCCGGGACCCCCCAAACGCGGGGGACGCTCACGGCAGCGGCCCAGTCGCAGTCCTGGGTAGGCGGACACAAGAGGGGACAGCTGGGGGCATGTCCCCCCTCACCCCAAATCCCCACCACAGCAGCCGTCCCGTGGCTTGGGACCCCCAAAACGTCACCGCCCTCCTCCCAGTGTCACTGCCCACCCTTCTCGTGTCCTCGCATCCCGCGTCCTCCCCGCCATTTCCCCCGCTGCCCCTCCACTCACCGCGTCCCCCCCGCAGATCCAGAGCCCGTCCGGGTGCTGTCGCGCCAGGCGAGAGCCGGACCCCCGGGAATCCCCGGGAAGCACCGTCAGGGCATCACCCGGGAGCCCCGCGGCCACCAGAGCCTGGGGACACAGGGAATGGGGGAGTGTCACGGGGTGGGGAGGGGTCCTGGGGTGATGGAGGGGGACACGGGGGTGTCCTGGAGGGTTTCAGGGGGGCACATGGGGGCTCCCGGAGAGGGGAGGTTTAGGGGTTTTAGGGCGGTCCCGGTGGGTTTCAGTGGGGAGGTGACACGGAGGGGTGACCCGGGGGTTCCTGGGGGGGGTTCCCAGGTGTCACCCGGGGTGGGGGGGTGGTGGTGGGGGGGGGGTCCCGCCGTTCCGCACCTTCCGTAGCCGCTGTGCGGCGCCGCCGCCGCCAGGGGGCGCCACCACCACGACACAATTTCCGAGCGCCAGCGCCGGGAGGAGGAGCTGCAGCGCCAGGGGGCGGGGCCAGCCCCAGGCCACGCCCAGCACGCCCAGCGGCCTCCGCGTCACCAGGGCCCGGCCCCCGGGCACCTCCTGCAGCGGGATTGGTCACGCCCACTCAGAAGCCACGCCCACTCGCCGAATCCCCGCCCCTTGCATGGTCCCTCCCAGCCCTCCATGACCACGCCCACCTGCACGGCCCCGCCCCCGCGCTCCACGCGCGCGGCCCAGCGCAGCAGCGCCCTCTGCAGGCTCTCGTCGGTGTCGCCGTTGTCGCCGTCCTTGGGGGTCCCGTGTCCCCCCCCCAGCGCTGCCGACGCCCCCCGCAGCACCCGGGCCCGCGACGCCCCCGGCAGCCGCCCCCACCTGCGGGAGTCGGGGGCGTTGGAGACTGACACCCCCTCCCCACCCAAGGGGGGGTCTCATGGTCGGGGACACCCCTGGAGGGGACATCCCCCCCCCCCCCACCCACGTCACTCACCGCGGGGCAGCCCCGCGGGCGGCAGCCACGGCCTGAGCCAGCTCGGGATCGCCGGGGCCATCCACGGTCACCGGGGGGCTGGGACAGGGACAGGAGACGGGGGAGGGGTCAGAGGGACAGCGGCACCCCCTGGAGAGGAGGAATCGGGGTCCTGAGGGACCCTCTGGGGGGACAGGATGGGGCCGGGAGCACCCGGAGGGGGAAGAAGGCGGTGCTGGGGGGGTTAAACCAGGGGAGTCCCGGTTTTTATCCTGGGACTCCCCTAATTTGGGGTCTCCACCCTGGGGAGGGGTCCCTGTCCCATCAGGGGGTACCTGAGCGGCTCATCCACCTTGCGGGGCTCTTCCCAGGGGGGGCACCCGAACTCCCGCAGCGCCTGGAGAGAGTGGGGGGTGGCGGAGGAACAGGAACCCCCAGCCTGGGGACCCCAAAACCCACCCCACTCCTCCCTAAACCACTCCCCAGGAGACCTCCACGTCCCTTCAGCTTCTCCAGGGCTCTCCCAACGCCCCCCCCGGACCCCTCCCGAACCAGCCAGGACTCCCAGCAGAGCCCCCCGGGGATCCCCCCCACCTCATCCAGGTCAGTGTCCGCAGCCCCCCCGGCGCAGCTCCCGCTGGGGTCCAGCAGCTCCAGGGCGTTGAGCCACACGAGCCCCTGGGGCAGCCTGGGGAGGGGTCAGCGCTCAGTGCCCAGCGGTCACTCGTGGGCTCAGGGCTCGTGGGAGGGGGGGGCTGAGGGTCACCTGTCCGCCGTGTCCAAGGCCACGGTGACGTCCTGGGCCCAGACGGCGGCAGCCGCGGTTTGGGGCAGCGCCGAGGCCACGGCCACGGCCTCGGTGGGGCCACGCACGGGCAGCAGCACCAGCAGCGGCCCCGGGGTCTGCAGGGGGCAGGGGACAATCAGAGGATCCCCAAAATGAGCCCCCACCCCACCCCAGCTCGCCCAGGGGCACCCACCGGCTCCCGCAGGCACCGAGAGGTCGGGGCCACCCCCGAGATCAGCGTGGGGGGGTAGAAACGATGTCCCCCCCCCGGCAGCGGCGGCAGCGGAGCCTGGAAAACCTGGAGGGAAAATATCGGGGGTCCCAATGAGCGGGGACCCCTCACAGAACCACCCAAGGTACCCCCAAACCCTCCCCAGGGAGCCCCCAAATTTCTCAGACCCTCCCTCAGGGGTCCCCAATGTCCAGGAACTCTCAAATTTGACCCCAATATTTGGCAACCCCACGTCCCCCTCCCCACCCCTTTGTGTCACCCCAATGTCCCCCGTAGCCCCCTTTGTGCACCCCCTCACCTGAGCCCCCTCCTCTCGCGCCTCCTGCACCACCTCCTCAGGCGGGAGGGTCCCGGGGGGCAGCGGCCCCACCTCTGTTTTGGGGTCCAGGGGGTCCCCGAGCCGCAGCCCCCCGAGCCGGGCCCGCAGCCGCCGCTCCAGCGCTGCCAGCACCGTGTCCTGAGCCAGCACCACGCACCCCCCGCCCGGGAACTGGGGACACGCAGCAGGAACATCAGGGGACACTCCAGGGACTCCTCTGAAAAAACCCAAATATCCCCCCCCACCCCCCAAAAAAAAAAACCCCAGAAACTTCCCGAAAAACTTCCCTAAAACCCCCCAAAAAAACCCCGAAACCTCAAAAAAACCCCTCTGAGAAACACCCAACCCTCCCACCTAAAGAAACCCTGAAACCTCTCCCCTAAAAAACTTGAAAAGCCTCCCCAAACCCCCCCGGGACCCCCCGGGCCCACCAGTGGCGGGGGGGCGGCGGTGCTGGCAGCGATGGCGGCGGCGGCGCTGTCCAGGTCGGCCGAGTCCAGGACGACGACAACGACGCGACCCCCCCGGGGACCCCCCAGGCGCGGCCCCCGGCACGGGGACCCCCAAACCAGGGCCTGCAGCTCCTCCTGGGGAAGACGGGGATAACACGTGGAGGACCCCCTGAATTGGGGAGGGGGTGGCGCAGCGCCAGCCCCCCCCCCATGGCTGTCACCTGCCACGGCTGTGACGCTGCCGTACCTGGGGGGCTCCGAGGAAGGTGACAGAGGTGACCTCGGGGTGGGCACGCAGGGCCTGGCACAGCCCCGGGGGTCCCGCCACGATGTTGAGGACCCCGGGGGGCAGCGCGGCCCCCTCCCCACTGAGCTCCCCCAGCAGCAGCAGAGGGGGAGCCGCAGCCGGAGGGGACAGGACCAGAGCCGTGTTCCCTGCGGGGACACCCCAGAACTGCTGAGACCCCTCCCCATAGGGACATCGGGACCCCCAGAACTGCTGAGACCCCCCCCCAGGGACATCGGGACCCCCAAAACTTCTGGGACCGCCCATAGGGATATTGGGGAGCCTCCCCCCTCCCCGCCTGGATCCACCTTTGTCCCTTGTCCCCAAGGTCCCCAGCTGTCCCCTGGGTCCCCAGCTGTCCCCTGGGTCCCCAGCTGTCCCCAAGGTCCCCAGCTGTCCCCAAGGCCCCCAGCTGTCCCCTGGGTCCCCAGCTGTCCCCAAGGCCCCCAGCTGTCCCCAAGGGCCCCAGCTGTCCCCCCCACTCCACTCACCCATGGCCAGGAGTGGCCCCAGTTTCCAGAGCAAGGCCGGCAGCGAGCAGGGACCCCCCAGGACCAAAGCCACCACCCCTGGGGGGGACACGAGGGAGAGTCAGGGGACACCGGGAGGGGACAGGGGGACACTGTGGGCACAGGGGGACACTCACCCAGTGAGGTCCAGCCCTCCAGGCCGGGGGGGCCGAGCTGGGCCCCCCCCGCGGGCACCTGGAGCAGCCGCAGCCCCAAGTCCAGGTCGGCTCCGAGGGTCCGGCAGAGCGGCCGCCCCCCGGCCAGGGCCAGCAGGGCCCCCATTGTCCCCCTGCGGTCACCTTCCAGTGCGGCAGCCAACCTGGGGGACACGGGGGACACCGGGGGACACCGGGGGGACACCGGGGGACAATGGGGGGAGCTCAGAGGGGTCAGCCGGGGTCACCCGGGGTCACCCCCACAGGAGGCGGAGGGAACACGGAGGGCTCCAAGGTGACCCCAGGGGTGCAGGGAAGGTCACCGGGGGTCGCCAGGTGTCTCACCTGCTCAGGTGCTGCCCCCGCTGGGGTCCCCCCAGCCCCGCCCAGGCTTTGGCTGCCGCCGCCGCCGCCGCCACGGCCACGGCCAGGTCCGAAGTGTCCCCGGCTGGCACCGCAGCCACCGTCCGGCCTGGGGACACACGGGGCGTGACAGGGGCCAGCCATGACCGCCATCCTGACCCCAAACCCCCACCCCAGTTCCGTGACCCTGACCCTGACCCCTGACCCCTAACCCTGACCCTGACCCTGGTCTGCACCAGTGACCCCGAGTGTGTGGCTTTGACCCCCGAGCCCCGATCCTGCCCCCGCCTCTGACCCCAATCCCTTCCCTGTCCCCTCCCCGTACCCGTGGTGGCCTCCTGGCACTCCAGGCTCGTCCGTCCTGGCGGCTTCAGCCACGTTCCGTTCACAAAGTGTCCGAGGCTGCGGCCATGGGACTCCAGCCATGCCTGGGTAGGGGGGCGAGGGGCACCCCTGGGACCCCCGGCCCCAGCAAACCTCCCTCCACTCCCCCAAATGACCTTGGGGCCATGGGGGGGACTTTGACCCCGACACACCCCAAGGAACCCTGGTCTCCGCCCATGACCCCATCCAGCCCCAGGAACCCCCCAAGACCCCCCAGGACCCCTCAGTGCCCCCTTCAGTGTCCCCACGGTGCCCCCCAGGACACTCCCATCCTCACGGGACCCCCAAAACCCACCCCGATTCCCCCCAGATGCCTCTCCCAGCCCCATCATTTTCCTCGGTGCCCCCCCCAGACCCCCTCCCACTTGCTCAGGAGACTCCCCAGAGCCCCTCAAGAGCCGCCCGAGATCCTCAGGGGGCTCCCCCAGGACCCCCAGAACTCCCCCAGGACCCCCAGGTCCTACTCGGGGGGATCCCCAGATCTCACATCACCTCTCCCGGGTTGATCCCGTCGGGGATCGGCCCCTCCTCCATCGTGGAGAAGATTTTGGGGACCGGGGGAGCCCCGAGGGCCGCCAGAGCTGCCATAGCCGCCCAAGGGCCACCGAGACGGGGCGGGGTTGGACGGAGAGGCCCCGGGGCACCACCGAGACGAGGAAGGGTTGGACAGAGCGGCCCCGAGAAACCATCGAGACGGGGAGGAATGGGCCAGAGCGGAACCCCCTCAGAGACCACCGAGACGGCGCAGAAGCGGCCAGAGCGTCCCCGGGTAACCACGGAGACGGGGGGCGCCGGAAGCGGAAGTGACGTAACTCGGAGAAGCGGCGGCCGCGGTAAGTGCGGTTCGGGGTGGGGGGGCGTGCCGGGGGATTCTTGAGGAGTTTTGGGGTCTCGAGGAATTCCCAGGGCCGTGCCGGGGGGTCTCGGGGGTGCCCGGTGGGGTTTGGGGGTGCCCAGGGGTTCCCTGGGGGGTCCCCGGGAACCCCGGCCCAGCCCGGACCTGAAGTCGTGGTGTTCCCCCCTCCCGGTTCCTCAGGCCATGGCGGACCCGTCGCTCCTCTCGGCCGAGCTGGAGGCGGACGAGGAGGAGGAGGCGGCGCTGCGGCGGCTGCTGCTGCAGGTGGGTCTGGGGAGGGGGTCCCGGTCCCAGTTCCGCTCCTGGTCCCGGTTCCGATTCTGAAGCTCCCCCCTCGTCATTCCCGCAGGTGACCCCGGACCGTGAGGAGGCTCCGCGGGCCGGCCCCGCCCGCGCGGTCACCCCGCAGCCCGGTAAGGGGAGATTCGGTGGGGCTGGGGGAGGGTTCAGGGGGTCCCCGCCGCCCCCCTGAGCCCCCCAACCCCGCGTTCCCCCCCCAGGGCTGTGCGTGAAGACCCGCGCGGGGGGCGACAAAGTCTTCGTCAACGTTTGCCACTCGCCCGAGGTGCCGCCGCCGCCCCCTTTGTCCCCCCCGGGCCTCCAGAGGCTCCTGCGGGAGCCCCCCGGCCCCGACGGCGGCTTCCGGATTCCGATGAGCCTCGGCGAGCCCCACGCCGAGCTCGACCGAGGTCAGAGACCCCCCGAAATTGTCCCCATTTTCCCGAGCACCCTCCCACGACCGCGAAATTGTCCCTGAATCCTCTCAAATCCTGCAGCGGGCCGGGGCTGCACTGCCTACGACGTGGTGGTGAACTCGGGCTTCTTCAGGACGCTGCAGGTGAGGGTCGGGATGGGGACGTTGGGGTCTCGGGGGAGTTTTGGGGGGGCTCTGACCCTCCCGGCTCCCCCCCAGGCCGATCCTTTGTACCTGGAGTTTTTCCTCACCGTGGCCATGGAGGGGCTGTCGGAGAAGTACGGGGTGGAACTGGAGCTGACTGGTGAGACTGGGGGGGGTAACTGGGAGGGTTCAGATGGGGCTGGGAGGTGCCCAATCCCCTCCCGTGACCCCCCCCCCCATCCCGTAACTCCTCCAGACTGGCGGGTGCTGAAGAATCGGAAATTCCTCGGCTCCATCTCAGCCCAAAACATCCGGGCCCGGCCCCGGCCCCACATCCAGGAGCTCCCAGGGTGAGTGGAGACCCCCCCCCCCGGGACCCCTCCCCAAAAATCCCAAGGCTCTCTCAGCCTGATCTGCGCCCCCCCCCCCCCCCCGCCCCCCAGACCCTCCCCAGTTTGTGGTGGTGGCTGAGCCCTCGGCCCAGGACCCGCAGGTGCTGCAGGCCCGGGTCCACCTGCCCCAGGTGGTGAGTGGGGTGAACTGGGGACAACTGGGAGGTGCTGGGGTTGAGTTCTGGGGTTCCCCTGATTGTGGGGGGAGTTTGGGGGGCAGCGGGGAGGGGATGGGGGGGGAGGTCTCGTTATCCTGGGAGGACACCGGGGGGACGCTGGGAGCTGCGGCAGGAGGGGTTTCCCCAATCCTGGCGGGTTCTGGGGACAATGCGGGGGCTCCCCAAAAAACCCAAGGAGGAGTTGAGGGCGGTGTGGGCGTGTCCTAACCCAGGCACCGCCCCCTTTTTTTGCCCCCGCCCAGGAGGGGGCGGGGTCTCTCTGGCTGGGGCTGAGCGAGGAGCGGCTGCTGCTGGTCCGCCCGCCACCAGGGGGCGCCGCCGCGGAGAGCGGGGCGGCTCCTCCCGCCCGCCAGGGGGCGCTGCTGGAGCTGGGGCTGCCCCTGCCCGCCGACCCCGCGCGGTGCCGCGCGCGCTTCCACCGCCGGTCCAAGGTAACCATGGCAACCGCGGGGGAATGGGACACGCTCACTTCCGGTAGTGGGGCACGCCCACTTCCGGCCGCGGGACACGCCCCCCCCGCTCAGCGCTTGGCGCCCCCTGCAGGTTCTCACCGTGACGATGCCGCTGCGGGCGTGAGGGACGAGGGGACCCCCACCCACCACGGGACCCCCCCGAGGGCTCCCAGGATTGCTCTGGGCCTTCCCCGGGATCGTCCCGGGCTCTCCCGAGTACCCGAGGCTGGGGTTGTCCTGGACTTCCCCCTCAGGGACCCCCTTTCAGGACCCTCTGAACGCTTTGGGGTCTC